CAACCTCCAGGGGCTCAACCTGGGGAGTATAGCTTGGTCAGCTGGTATTGGAACGACTGGTATTGATTCCTCGTGGAAATACCAATTGTGATTGGACCGGTCAACTGGAAAAGAAAATGGAGAAAAGTTCATTCCAAATCGTTTTGCTTTCCCAGTCATTCCTAGCCACTCCCGCAGAACATTAAAACCTCCAGGCATCTTTCTTGCCCTAGCCAGTTTGGCTCAGTGGATAGAGCGACGGCCTGCGGCCTGAAGGGTCCCAGGTTGATTCCAGCCAAGGGCACATGCCTTGGTTGCGGGCTCGATCCCCAGTAAGGAGCGTGCAGGAGGCAGCCGATCAATGATTCTCTCTCATCATTGATGTTTCTATCTTTGTTCTCTTCCTTCCTCTCTGAAAGCAATAAAGGGAAAAAGAAAAGAAAAAGAAAAAAAAACTCCAGGCATCTTTCTTATTTAAGACATTCATTCATTTCCAAACTGTTTTCTGCCCCTCTTTATCTGAGCTAATCTGTAAGGCTCTCCTCAAGCTACTGCCCTACTTATGACCTATTCGGTTAACAACCTCTTCATAGACAAACTATCTTTTCCCTACAGTACACACCTGTTCAATTCCTTGAAGCTGTAAAATTCTTTGAGCTTGTGTCACCTGGTCATTTAATTGAACTCTCAGATTCCTCTCACTGCGCCTTCCTTCCCCAGAGATACTGACTCACTGTCTTAACTCTTCATCCCGAATCCTACCATCAACCTCAAAGGCATCTCTCTATTCGGTTTAAACTTTAACACTTCTTGACTTTCTTTATTCCAGTATTCATCACTTACTGACCACTTAAGCTCCTCCAAGTCATGGCCCTTCTATCACCTAAACTTTTCTGTATCCTAAATGCAAGCATATCATCCTGAACATCTTCACCTGTCTTCCTCGCTCTATAATGGTTTATACTGAGTATATATTAACTTACATTTTTAACCTATAAATCCCTAGTGTATTTTGTTGTTTTTCCCACTGAGTTTAATGTTTAATTCATCTCATTCTTGTTCAGTTGTATAGCATGTTCCAAAAAAATATATTCACACACTGAATAATTATAAAAGCAGTATTTATTAAATTACATTTCATTTTCAAAATTGAGCTGTCATTTTTGGAGGACATCCTGTATATGTAAGGCTTTGCCAGTGCCTTACCATGAAGCTTGAGCTGTGCTCTATAGATTATGATGTGCAATGTTTTTAATTTGAGTTGGTTTTTGAAGATCTGGAGTGGCCAGGGCACCATCAGGAAGCCCTGGCCACTCCAGATCATAGCTTTAATTTTCATAGCATTTGAGAGTGTTTTTTTCTGGTTTTCATTCTAGTAATAAATGTTGTTAGTACCACTCTATATTCTTTTTATTTATTGAGGAGTTTTTTGGCAACCTAATAGCAGCTTTTGTAAACATTCTCATCAGTGTTTATATTCTATCTGGTTTAAAATATCAGACTAACCATGTTATTTCTATGCACTACATTAGTAATTAGTTTTAGGGTGTTTTTTTTTTAAGGACTCAGAAAGTTGTCTTAATCGCCCATTCTAATGTGTCATTGTTGATTTCATGTCATTTTCAGAGGGTTTTGCTATAAATATATTTCAATTATATTTTTAGGTACATTTAATAAGTTAAACTTCACTGAGTTGTACCTTCAATCATGTAAAGTTTCCTCTTTGTCTATTTTAATGCATTTGTGCTTTTAATTCAGTATATCCATGCTTATTTTATTGTTTACATTTGCTTATGCTTTTAATCATCACTTTATTTTCAATTTTGGAGTTCTTTTATTTTTGATGTCTCTTGAGTATTTATGTAGTTGGGTTTAAACTTTTACCCTGTACACAGTCTTTTTCCAATAACTGTCCTTGTTGTTATTTCTATCTTTCATTTTTGAGCTTCCTTTTCTTGTGTTGTTTTGTTTTTAACATATTGCCTGTGAGCTTTTTCATTCCTCTTTCTCCCTTTCTGTTAATTTTAAAAGTATTTTGGCCTATAGTTCATTGTTTTTCTGGGACTCAGTGACACCTCTTTGTCACTTTGAAATTTTTCTTTCTTTAAAAAAATATGTTTTTATTGATTTCTTTCTTTCTATGAACCTGGACTTTCCTAACCTTTGGAGGTTATATCTCAGGAGTTGAGAAATAACTTTTGTGCACAAAGTTTTCACCAATCTGTAAAATATACTAATAGGCAGACATAAACATGTATGTATGATAATCTGTTGAGTGCGTTTTAAATAGATACTGTATGGTTTCGGCAAGACACAATGGAAAACATTGGTAAATTCTTCTCATTTGCTTCTAGCTCTTTTTTTAAAAAAAACTTTTGAAACCCTTCTTTCATTTCTCCCATTGCCCACCCACGTCTTCCAGCAAACACCAATCTGTTCTCTGAATCTATGAGCTTGCTTTTATTGTATTATTTTGTTTGTTTGTTTGTTGTTTTGGGTTCATCATGTAAGAGATCATATGTTATTTGTCTTCTCTGACTTATTTTACTTATTGCCCCCAAGGTCTATCCATGTTGACACAAATGGAAAGATTTCATTCTTTTTTATGGCTGAATAGTATTCCATTTTGTATATATACACCACATTTTCTTTATCCATTCACTTATTGATGGACACTTAGGTTGTGTCCATATCTTGGCTCTTGTAAACGGTGCTGCAGTGAACATATGGATGCATATATCTTTTCGAGTTAATGTTTTAATTTTTTTCAGATAAATACCCAGAAGTGGGATTGCTGAATCATATGGTAGTTCTATTTTTTTTTTTAAATATATTTTATTGATTTTCCACAGAGAGGAAGGGAGAGAGATAGAGAGTTAGAAACGTCGATGAGAGAGAAACATCGATCAGCCGCCTCCTGCACATCTCCCACTGGGGATATGCCCGCAACCCAGGTACATGCCCTTGACCGGAATCGAACCTGGGACCTTTCAGTCCGCAGGCCGACGCTCTATCCATCGAGCCAAACCGGCCTCGGCGGTAGTTCTATTTTTAATTAATTTGAGGAACCTCCATACTCTCTTCCCTAGTGCTGCACAAAATTACATTCCCACCAAAAGTACACAAAGGTTTTCTTTTCTTCACTTTCTCACTAACACTAGTTGTCTCTTGTCTTTTTTATAATAGCCATTCTCACAGGTGTAAGATGGTATTTCATGGTGGTTTAGATTTGCATTGCCCTGATGATTAGTGATGCTGAGCATCTTTTCATGTACCTGTTGGCCATCTGTATGTCTTCTTTGGAAAAATGGCTATTCAGATCTTCTGCCCATCTTTAAAATTAGATTGTTTGTTTTTGCTATTGAGTTATATAATCTTTTATATATATTGGATATTAACCTGTTATCAGATATATGATTTGCAAATATAGTCGCAAATCAGTCAGTGTGATTAGCTAAGTGAAGGAAAAAAATCATATCATATCAATAGATGCAGAAAAAGCATTTGACAAAATTCAACATCTATTTATGATAAAAATTCTTGACGAAGTGCATATTTAGTGCTTACTATCTGCCAAGAAGTGAGATGAGTGTTCTTTTAATCCTTATAATTTAATCAGATAGATATTGTTGTAGCCATATTGCAGTTGAGAAAATGCAAGCTTTTGTTAAATAGCTTCTTCAGTTTCATACAAATGGTAACTTCAACTGAGATTTAACCTCAAATCAGGTAGACTCCAAAGTATGTACTCCTAGTCACTATCTATTGCCTATGTCAGGGTTTCTTAATCTTGAAAATATTGATATTTGGAGCTGGTTAATTTTTTGATATTAGAGGGCTGTCTATTGTTGGGTGTTTAGTAGCTATTCCCACTAGGTGCCAGTAATAATAACCCCAAGTCGTAACAACCAGACTGTCTCTAGACATTGCCCTGGTGGCAAAATCACCCCTGAAAACCACTGGCCTAGAGATGTATAATAAAAAAAGACCTTTGCATGGCAAATTGCATCCAGACTAGCAGCATTATAAACTGGACAGAAAACTACATCTGAACTTCCCTGGACATAATGACTGTTGTAGTTGGCCAAGCTCTTTGGGGAACCCTGGGTGCTGTGCTCTGAGTTTTTAAAGAAATATTGGCTCCTGCGGATAGGCTTTTCAATCAAGATGCTTTCTGCACAACCCAGGTGGGTCTCTTGACTTGAGCTGTATTTTGTAAGGACTCCCACTGAAGAAAAATGCCACTCACTCTGCTAACAATCTGTGTTTTCTGTCTAATAGCCTGATTAACAAACTGGTGCCAAATGTGATCCATGGTAGTCTTATGGGCCTGTTTAGTAGAGCCTAAGACCTCACTGGTGGACATTGCAGACTGGCCCCTCGTGAATCCTAACAAAAATTTTTAATTATTATAGTTTGGAATCACGTTTTTTAAAAATCCCTAACAATAAAATAGCTCATGGATATTTATTCTTGTATTTTTAAATAATTGGTTTCTTACCTTAATTTCTAGTGGTAGTGCCAATTTTACTCATTTTAATATGACTTGGTATTTTAATGGGAACTTAGGAAGATTTTTAGGCATCTCTAGTATTAAAGCTTAATGTCCTGAATATCCTGCCTGAAGACTTGTTTTGCTTAGTTATAAAGCAAAATAGAGTTGTTAACTAGTACAGGAGAAATCTCACTGGAGTTAAATTATGAAATTTATTTTAATCAAAGGAATATTTCATGTATCACTTGTTTGTGTTATATCTATCTCTGTTTCTTTGTCTTTTTGAGTTAATTGGGGGGAGGGGGAAGACAGCATATTGTCCTGTTATAAAGAAGAAAAACAAGAATGAAAGGAGAATCCATTATATTTCCTTGCTTAATTTTAAGAATATTATTTGTACTATTTTATCTTTTAACACTATGCTAATATGTTCACTATCTATGGGTCATATTTGTGTATTTTTTCAGTCTCTCAGGTACCTGAATGTTGGCTTTCTATCTTAAACTCCTGGAATTCCTGGAAATTCTATTTGAGTTATAACTTGGCTCAAATCACACCACATATATATATAGTATACAGGTACTTAGCCCAAGCCTAAGAATTACTGGACTCCTCTGATAAGATAAATTCAAACAAAGTGGGACTTCCATCTAGGAAGATGCAGCCCCTGAACAAGTTGGTGGCTATCTCAAAACCTCAAAACCTGACTCTGGATGAACAAAGTGAGGACCTGAGAGCAGATGTGTCTTGGCAGCAGGAAAACACCCCAGTCAGGGAGACCTATGACTCTGAGGCGTCTCGTCAAAAGTTCAGACATTTCCAGTACTTGGGAGTGTCTGGGCCTCATGAAGCCCTGAGCCAACTCTGGGAGCTCTGTCTTCAGTGGCTGAGACCAGAGGTTCATACTAAGAAGCAGATCCTAGAACTGTTGGTGCTGGAGCAATTCCTGACAATTCTCCCTGAAGAGGTCAGGACTTGGGTGAATTTACATCATCCAAAGAACAGCAAAGAAGTGGTGACCCTCATAGAAGATGTAATTGAAGACAAAGGTGAGAATATAGAAAACTGGATGTGGAATAGTTGCCCTGGGGGGAAGGGACAACATATTTTCCTGTTATAAAGAAGAAAAACAAGATTGGAAGGAGAATCCATTATAGTTATTTTCTTAAGTAATTTTAAGAATATGATTTGTACTATTTTATCTTTTAACACTATGAGGCCTCAAATATTATTTTGGCTCCTTTTCCTCTGATCCAGTAGTTCTCAATCCCTGGTGGAATTTCAGAATCACATTTAGAGCTTTTTAAAAATATAAGATCTAGGCTCCACCCTTGGAGATTCTGATTGTTTGTAGAGCTTTGCATCATTATTTTTTCAAAGTTCTTTAAAGCTGATTCCTATGGGTAGCATGTTATAATCACTGCTGTAATCATTAAACTTTTCTCCAAAGCATAGCTTGTCTCCCTAATGTTTTTCTTCATCTTCTTCAGATATACCCTGCAAGGATTCTGCCCTTCTCCGGAAGGTGAGTATCAAGAAGGAGAAAATGGAAGCAGACTCACTAACAGGCAAATCCCAGGTGAATTAGGATTCCACTCTTTACAAAAATGAGCTGATTTTTCTTTCTTGACCTTTGAACTTTTGTCAAACATAGTTTAATCTAAGGACACGAGACTTGTTCTCCCTCAGGACATTGGACCTAGTTTAGTTGGCGATACACTTTTTGAAAAATATGATCTTTGTATGTTCTCTGTGCATTTATTTCTTCAAAACTGTAAACAATAATTGAAGCTATTAAAATAGAGCCCATCCTGAGAATGTTCAGAATTAAAAGTGAAGGGAGCCAATGTCACTAATGGTCAGGAGAAGAAATCTCAATGGATACTGAAATGAAACAAAGTAGTAGAGAAAAACCAGGACAATGTTGTCACTGAAAGCAAAGGATGAGCATATTGCAAGAAGAAATTCTTTAGAGTTTAGGAAAATCCAGCCTGAGTAATGTCTTAGTGTCTGTTCAGTTATCATCATGGAGATACTAACATGCATGAGCATAAAAGCCAGGTTGCAGAGAAGATGAAGTAAGCAAAACAAAGGTAGACAACTTATTCACAAAGACAGGCTCTGAAGTAGGGGAAGGGAAAGGATTTGTATATTTCAGTGTGACTGGAGGTGCCAACAATGATAAGGTTGAGAATGCCGAGAGAAATTCGACAACTGTTGATGGTAAGAGGGCCCTTTTAAGAAAGGTTTAATGCAGCCCTGGCCAGTGTAACTCAGTTGCTGGATATCATTCCATGCTCCAAAGGTTGCCAGTTTGATTCTAAGTCAGGGCACATACCTGAGTTGTGGGCTCGATCCCTGGTAGCCAATTGATGTTTCACTCTCTTCCTTCCTCTCTTTCTAAAAATCAATACAAAAATCTTAAAGAAAAAGAACTGTTTACACAGGGCCTAATATGCCATAATTTTTTATGACAGTAAATGAAACAAAACCCTGGCTTTGTGGAGATTATATTTATGGTCAAAGCAGACAGGCAAACGCAAGCAAATAAGCTAATTGCAGCCCTGGCTGGTGTGGCTTAGTTGGTTGAGCATCGGTCAGGGCACATACTCAAGTTGCTGGTTGGTTCCCCTGTCTGGGTACATACAAGAAGTGGCCAACCCATGTTTCTCTCATTTTGATGTCTCTCTCTCCCCCTCTTCTCCCTTCCTCTCTCTAAAATCAATAAAAACATATTTTTAAAAGGATAATTGCAGGCAGGAATAATAATTACAAAGAAAAGAAAGAAATATAATGCAGTAGAGACTGATTAAGAGAATGTCTACTTTGGGTAATCAGGAAAGGCCTGTCCGACAAGCTAACAGTAGGCTGTGAGAACTGAGGTTAGCGGGCTGGGTTTCTCAATTGGAGAAAATGCCCTACCTCTTCTGCTATTGAAGCCTACATCTTCATTACAAATTTCCCTCAAATCTACCTTCAACTCTTTGTGCTCTGAACTCCTTTTATGTAAATTATTTATACTCTATAATACTTTTTGTTCCACAGTTATCTCAACTGTTTTTTTCTCCTCCAGCAAAACGTAAGCTAATCGAATTAATTTTCCTTTTGCGGCCCTCACAGAGTTCCAAGTTGATAGGTCCCTAATATAACACGACTTCATCCTTTAGAACTCCAAACATTGACCTATCAATTTTTGTATATTCTGGCTACCTCCCGTATTCTTTTCAAATTTATTTCTCCTCTAGTAATATTTTTGGAGTGATCTTTGATTAAAAAGGAACTTAATGTTTTAGGAGCCAGTGACATTCAAAGATGTGGTTGTGGAATTCAGCGCGGAAGAGTGGGGGCAATTGGACTCTGCTGTAAAGACCCTGTACAGGGATGTGATGCTGGAGAACTATAGGAACCTCAGCTCATTGCGTAAAGGTGGCTTCTATGTACTTACCTACTCTGCTCATTAATAATCTCTTCATCTACTGATAAAACTATAGGACTGCTGAAGTGATTAAGGGCATTTGGGATTAGGTTCAGATTTCCTAATATTCTTTGGGCACAACAGCAGATTTTCTTGCTGTATGTGTCTAAAAGTCCTTTCTGATGTAGAGTTTTAGAAATACACAGGTGTGTGATGATTCTGGCCTAATCTTTCAACAGCTCTTAGAACACTATGTTGGGATGAAATTCTTTTTCCTCTAAAACGGTCTGGAGTGTCATGTATGTTTGTTTATTGTGTTGTTTTCATTTTTCCCATAACAGAGCTTCTATTGTCCAAACCAGTTGAGGTCCCCAAGTTGGAGAGGAAGATAAAAGGATGGATAATGGAGCAAGAAATCCCAAGAACAGCCATACTGGGTAAGAAGCAGGCAGATATGAGGCACTTGTAAAAAGCTGTTTGTTAAACTTACCATTGTACAACCCAGCCTTTGGTTGATAGTTGGGGAGGTGATGACAAAACCACCTAAACTTTGAAGAAAAAAGTCATCATTGCTTTTTGTTCACAGATTCTTTTTCTTATGTGGACAGGCAAAATTGTGTTATGCGTTAGAACTTAAAACTGTGTGGCCTATCTGCCAGTTTCCTAATCTGTAACAGAGAGTGAATAACAGTGTCTACTTCCACTCTACTGTGAGGGTGAAATGTATTCATATGTGTAACATACTTAGAGCAGTGCCTGACACCTGGTAAATGCTATATAAATGAATGTTCACCATCATCTCATTAAATGGTATTCTTTCTTTCTCTCTCTCTCTTTTTTTTTTTTTTAAAGAAAACAGAAAACTCTGCTTTATCCTAGAGTGGCTTCAGTATTCTTCCATTTCTTTTCCTTTCTTTAACTATATAACTCCTTAACTTGTGCCTTAAGTCCCTACCCTCATCATAATTTATTCTTATTAACATTTTGGTTTAGAGAGGTTATAAATTATTGTATATATAGTTTAGTAAGTATAGAATATACTTTTCTATAATGAGGGATATAACCTCATTACCTCACTACCCAGAGCTATGTAGTATTAACATTTGGGGGGGGGAGGGGGGTTTCTTGAGCCATTTTCTTTGTTAATGTATTTTTGTGGCTTGTGACAATTTCCTTTTCCCAAAATTGGGGTTATCAGGAATATGTCATTATATATATTCTGCTCTTCCTACCTAATATGATATCATGCACAATTGCCTATTTCACTAAATACAAAAATTGGTTTCTAATTCACATATAACATTCCATCACATACATGTATCGTTATGTTCAACCATTCCTCCCTGCCACCACAACTATTGGACATTTAGGTTATTGCCAATTTTTCTGGCTTATGTGTTGAGTTCTGTAGTATACCTTATTAGAAGAGGAACTTCAGCACCAAAAAAGTGGTGTGTGTTTGTGTGTGTGTATGTGTGTGTGTATTTAGAAAGATGTCCAAAGATGCATTTTATTCACATCAATATTATTTTATATTAGTTTCAGGTGTACAGCATAGTGATTAGACATTTATATAATTTAAGAATTGATACCCCAATATGTCTAGTACCCACCTGGCACCATACATAATTATTACAATACTAGAGGCCTGGTTCACAAAATTTGTGCACTGGGGAGGAGGGGAGCCTCATCCCAGCCTGTGCCCTCTCCCAGTCCAGAACCCCTCGCTCCTTACCGCCCGCCTGCTTGCTGCTCCCTACCGCTTAGCTCACTGCTCCTTAGTGCTGCCGTGAAGGCTCCCGCCACTGCTGCTGCACTCACCAGCCATGAGCCTGGCTTCTGGCTGAGCGGCACTCCCCCTGTGGGAGCACTGACCACCAGGGGGCAGCTCCTATGTTGAGCATCTGCCCTCTGGTGGTCAGTTCATAGCGACAGGTCATTCCACCATTCGGTCGATTTGCATAGTAGGGTTTCATTAGATAGGATCATTTGACTGTATTCCCTATGCTTTACTTTATAACCTTGTGACTATTTTGTAACTACTTATTGTACTTCTTTCTTCCATTCTTTGCCTTGCTGATCTCTAAACCTTCTTTTTAATATTTTTATCTCATTTATTTGTTCTGTAATTCTCCTTTTTTAGCCTCACTTCACATTTTATTCTGTGTTTAAGATGCATAAAACATGCATACCCCTTATATGGTTTAGCCTTCCTTTTCTAATTAAGCAATTTTTTTTCTTCTAGTTTGTGGAATTTTTATTTCTTTTCAGACGCACAAATAATTTCAGAAAATCAGGATCCAGTTTCAAAGAGAATTTCTGGAGCAGAATCGTCCCATGGAGAGATAATGACAACACTGACCCAAAATAGACTTCCTTCTCTAGATGCCTGGAAAAGTGATGATTGGTTACATAGGAACTGGGACATAAATTTGCCACAAGACGCTTTCATTCATAAGACAATCGATACTGTGGAGGGAGACTTTGAATATAGTGAAAATAAGAAAAGCTTTGATGTTAAGACAGTTAACTCAGTTTTTGATAGTCAACAAGGAGTTCCTATGAGCAAGGGGTCCCCGAAGTGCAATAAGTTTAAAACTAATTTCAAATTTAATTTTGACTTACTAGGAAAGCAATATTCAGACTATAATGAATGTGGGAATGCCTTGAGCCTGAGTACAGATATTCAACACCCAAAAAGTCATACCACAAGGAGTTGCTATGCATGTTTTCAGTGTGGGAAAGCCTTCAGCCGGAGTTCATCCCTTGTTCGACATCAGATCATTCACACAGGAGAGAAACCCTATAAATGTAGTAAATGTGGGAGATCCTTCAACCGACGAACAAACCTTAGTAAGCATCAAAGAGGTCATCCAGAAGTAAAGGCCTACAAAGGAAATAAATGTGAAACAGTCTTCAGTAAGAGTGAAGACAGTAATAAACATCCAAGTCTCTATCCTAGAGATAATACTTATGAATGTGTTAACTGTGGAAAATCCTTCAGCCGGAGCTCCTCACTTATTCGACATCAAATGATTCATACCGGAGAGAAACCATTTAAATGTAACAAGTGTGAGAAAACCTTCAACAGGAATTCAAACCTTATTAAACACCAAAAACTTCATACTCAGGAGAAGTCCTATAACAAGTAAATGTAATATTGCCTTTAGTCAGAGTGCAGAACTCATTCAACATGCATGGACTTATGCTGGAAGGAATCCTATGAATATGCAAATGGAAAAAAGAAACTTTGTCAGATTATTCTCTAATTGATAATGACAAAATTAATACTGGAGGGAAATCTGTTATTGGACAGAAAAATCAGGCAGATTTTCCTGGCTCCCAGATGAAACCACAGAGTTTGAAATTAAACATATCACCATACAAGTGTTTTGTCTATCATTATTCTGATGTTCATTACCATCATCTTTCTCTAGTTCATAAATAGGACCTAATCTATTGAGAAAGTCCATATTAGGGAGAAGCCAAGCAATATCCTTGGAGTTGATAAATTTAGTAAACCTCAAACTTTCAGTTCTTAATATGAAGGTCACAAGTAACCAGGAGATCATGAGAAAATAGAAGGACATTTCTAAGGACTGAACTCTGAAGTAATGGCAGAGATCATAGTGACAACCAATTACTCCACTCCAATTAATATCTTTGGCTGCCCTGGTGCTCAGTGGGGACTACAATTGGAAAGGGTAATCAACTACAAAAGGAGGTGGATGTATTGTTGTTAATCTACATGTATTTTTTTAAGATATGAATTTTTTTAGAAGTATTCTTTGGGATCTAGGCTGGAGGACATCCATAGCCCTAGGTCTATCATTTATCCTAAACATTTAAAGGTCAATAAAGTGTCCTCAAGTGGGACACAGGCCCCGCCACCACCCCAGAGAAAAAGCCCACCAAATCGCAGCCGACGCTGCCGTGGCGCAAAATGCAGCTCACAGCCCAGCCCAGCCTGCAAACAGTGGCTGTGGGCACCAGGTAATGACATATTTTTGTTGACATTCTGAAGCCGAAATTGTCAACAGAATATGTCTGAAAACCAACTATTGCCACAGCGTACCTCTGAGGCTGAAAGAAAGCAATGTTGTCGACAAAATATTTCTGAAGAACAACTATTGGCACAATGTACCTCTGAAGCTGAAAAAAAGCGACATGTTGACAGAACATGTCTGAAGAACAGTCATTGACAAGTACTACCAATACTGGTAGGAACTGCCTTCAAAGCGAAAATGAGGTAAATGAGGATGCAGTTATCGAACACAGTTGTGGTGGAAGGACTGTTACACTTTTGCCTATCCCTAAATTTCTCCAATGAAAATCCATCTGATGGAAAATTTACTCGATGTTGTAGCAAAGACAAATTTTGTCCAAATGATATACATTTTCCAGAATACTTTGCATATTTTAAAAAATTAATGATAACTGAAGATTCTGATAGTAAAAATTTCATGGAAAATATTCGTTATATCATGTTATTGTTTTTTATTAATCTCTATATTATTTTCATCTACATTTTACTAATTTTCTTTCATCTCTGATACTTCTATAGAAAAAGGGCAAGTAGCGATATTAAAATATTTCCTCTAATTAATTTTCTGTCAATGTGCATGAATTCATGCATCAGGCCACTAGTTTCTAGATAAAAAGGCTATTGTGGAGATGTTGAATCCTCCCACATTAAACTATAAAAAAATTCTAATCAAATATTTCACTGAGAACATTATTTCACAAATTGATTATAAAGTTTATTTTGTAAGTACCACTCTAGTGAGGAAAATGTAGGAGATATCTCTAAGTATATATGACAATGAGTTTGGTGGCTAAAGAGCAAAACTGAGAAAAGAAAAATATTTTTATTTTCATTTTTTTTGATGAAAATGCTTCTTATAAAACACCTACATCTACTTAAAGAGTCTTAAGATATATGGCAAATCAGACTTCTAGATTTTAATTCTGGACTTGCCAATAATTTGTGCTATAACTAGTTATTTAACTTTAGACTCTAATATTTCATCTAAGAATAGGGACACCTGGCCTACATTTTTATTGTACAGTTCAAATGAGATAATATAGCACTTATTTCTTAAGTATAAGAATTGCAAATTAAATGCAAATGTATGGTTTTAATATTATTATTGGAGCTTAATGATTTAACACAGTGTTTGGCTCCTAATAAATGCTCGAAAATCGTAGCCATTAATTATTACAGTCTACCAAAGAAGCAGTAGGCTGGCTAAGCAACTAACAATCCTCCAAAACATCAAATGAAATAAATTATAGTTTTAAGGATGAAGGATTCCCCAACAGTGCGTACTCAGTAGTTTTTCTAAGAGTCAAACATGATTCTGTGAAAGCTCAGCACCAGAACTCATCATAAATATAGCAAACACTTTTAAACGGGAATAGATTCCATCCTACCCCCACCATTTAGGTTAATATATTTTCAATTGTGAAATTGCTTGAAATTTTTTTTCAAAGGGAGTTTTATCTCTACTTTTCCTACCCTTTAACTAGAAAAGAAAGGTAACGACTCTTGTAGACCTACTCAAAGATAAATACAAACTATGGATATTTTTATTCAAAAATCCTATGGTGGTAAATACTCTGAAAAGTCTGGATCTGTATGAGTGTCTGTTTGTTTGCATATGAATGCAGTCTTACTAAGTATAGCAGATACTAACCTGACCAAAGCAATTATTTCATAAACAACACAACCTAGCAAAAACTGCGGGTATATTCACTAGTTTCCTGACAGTCTAAGGTGAGTACTGGTTGGTATGTGCCTTACTGGGAGACAACAGGAAAGCCAAAGGGAGCTTTTGCCCTCTGGAAGGTAAAACCAAAGATATCTGGTCTCTGATACTAATATATGCACATCATGGAAGAAACCATGTAATAAGAAAAGGAAAGGAGATAGAATGGTTGAGGGAAGAGGCTATCAGAATATTAAGCTTCCAAGCATAAGAATTTTCTTTACATCATGGGTGGAAAATGGTAACATCTCAGTGGTTTGACTTCTGAGTGAAAATATATAGCTTTTTGGAATCAATGAAAATCTAAATAGTTTGCATCAGCTACTATTTATTTGGGTTCCAAAATAATGCTCCCCATTTAGTGGATAATATATAAGCTGACATGAGGACTACCAGCAGAATGTACATGACTTGCTTGATGCTGTTTTCGAGTTTTATTTCTTATCAGATTCATTATGAACATAGTAATTTTTTTTAAAATACATTTTATTGATTTTTTACAGAGAGGAAGGGAGAGGGATAGAGAGCCAGAAACATCGATGCGAGAGAAACATCGATCAGCTGCCTCCTGCACGCCCCCCACTGGGGATGTGCCTGCAACCAAGGTACGTGCCCTTGACCGGAATCGAACCTGGGACCTTTCAGTCCGCAGGCCGACGCCCTATCCACTGAGCCAAACCGGTTCTGGCTGAACATAGTAATTATTAAAATAGAGTTCTATAGTTTAAAGAGGAAGGGGATTTTTCAGTCAGGTTTCTCTCCTATGAATCAGTTTTCATATAAAAGCAACTGCATATATTTCTCAATGGGACGTCTGTAAACATTTTAATGGATTCTTTGCTGTAAACTCCAAAATTCTAAAAAAAAAAAAAATATTCTCAGTGTATTTGGAATCATTTGAAGATGTGTGAAGTTATGGTGATACTGTCTTTTCAACATCCATCCCTTAAACATTTACAGTATGTCAACACTGCGCTAGAAGCTGGAGACACTCAAGGAACTAATACCTATCAGAAAACATTACACAAGGTGACAGATACTAGACCAGTGGTGCTCAACCTTGGCTGCACATTAGAATCACCTGGTGCAGCCAAGGTTGAGAACCACTGTACTAGACAAATGATGTGGAGGCACAGGATTCCAGAGACCAGATTTGGCAAACTAAGCCTCCAGCATCTGGGCAAGATATCCAAGATGATTAAGAATCTGCATTGGGGATGGAGCAAAGCCGCCTACTAACCTAAGCCCTGGCTGTGAGGGGCTCCCTGCCTGCCAGACTCCTTTCCCATGCGACTCTCCCAGGTAAGGGCAGATGGGTGAGAAAGCTGGAGAGGAAGAGAGTCTATTGGCAGTCCCTCTCACAGTCTGAAGAGCTCACCTGGGATATCTCCAGGATGTGCGTCTACAATTCGTAGCTTCAGCCTATTATCCAAAATAAATCTAATCCTCTCTCGCCCTCTGCAGCCCCTTCAATCTGAGGGCAGGGCAGGCTGGAAGGTTCAAAAGCCAGCCATGGCGCCAACAAAACCAGAGTCCACCCCTAGGGAACTCCTACACCAGGTAACCTCAGGAGCTCAGGCCAGCTGGAAAGCACCTCCCACGTGGGCGGGGTGGGGCTGGCCTAGGGGTAGGAAGTGGAGTGTAGGCGGAGAGGTCAGGGCTGAGACCTCCTCCATTGCCAGCGTAGTAGGGTTCTGCCAGCTGGGTAGCGGCCAATGCAGTCTTTCTCCCAATAAACCTGGGTAACCGTTCTAGCTTTGGAGCTTCTCTTCGATTGATGTTGGGAGTGCACAATGACCTCTAGTCACCAGCACCGTGAAAAACGCTTGCCAGTTGGTGCTGAAGACATGGTGAGATTTTCCTGCTGGGCCTCTAAGCTTGGTGTCTTGGAGACAGAATTTCTCTGGATATTGAGTGTGCTTAATAGGACCTTCCTTGAAGTGATTTTGAAATTAGAATGACATTGGACTTTTGAGAAGATTTCCTAGAATCATTATGCTGTGAAAATTAATACTTTATTGTGTGGCAGGCAGGTTTTTAGAGATAAAGGAGAGAGGGACTTTAGTTAGGACTCCTATTATTTAAATCCCTTTAATTTACAGCTAAGAGAGGTCAAATAATTATCCTAATTCTATACCATCAGTAAAAGATAAAAGGCCAACAAGTTCTTAAACTACTTCAGCCACTGTGCCTTTCACTGCTCACCAGGAAACTTTATCAGACTGTTAATGTTCTGATTCATTGCCAATTAATTTTAATGTTTGGTGGAAGACATCTGCACACATGACTCATGGTGGCCTGTATGTATTCTAACTTCTAGGGCCTGTGAAGATGAACAAAAAACACACCCTTGTTTTACCTTTTGGACTGGATTGTATAATTATTTGGTCTCTGCATATCCTAGGATTTAATCAGTTACTTTGGTGGGCATATCTGATAGGATCTGCCTGACGTTGATTCTTGGCCTACTAGGATTGCTGCTGACACTCTGCATTACTCTGAGTTTTTATTGACTCAATGATTATAAAAGTTTGTTGACATTAGGTGGAAATAAACTGTCTTCATAAAAACTGATCTGAGCTCTGGCAGCCTCTTAACCGGTAGTTATTCCTAAAACTGTATATTTCTCAACTGTATCTCTCTCTCTCTCTCTCTCTCTCTCTCTCTCTCTCTCTCTCTCTCTCTCTCTCTCTTCTCCCTTCTTCCCTCCCTCTTTTTCTCCCTTCCCTTCTCTCTAGATCAATAAGCATGTCCTTGGATGAGGATTAAAAATAAAATAAAATACTAAAATCCAATTTTAAAACTACCTTCCGATATAGTCAGCATACTCAAAAACTATACTTAAAATTTGATTTTTCTCATCTCCACTGTTAACACTATGTAAACACATCTTAGGCATCACTGCAGTACCTCCTCATTAGAATCCCTGCATTATTCCTAGCCTCCACCTTCAGTCACTTATTAACACAGCATTCAGAGTGAGCCTTTTAAAATATAAAGTTAGATCATGTCACTTAAAACACTCCAATGGCTTTTCATTCCACCTTTAACCACGGTTTTTTAGTGAATATATTTACCAAATTTACTCTGGTGAGCACCCTAATAAAGGGGAAAATAAACAATTGAAAAAGGAAACTGCCTCGTACTATCAAAACTCATTGATGCCACCTTAGTTGTCTACTCCCATGGTCTGGTAATGTCCATTCTTGTTCATTCTCTTCCCCTCACTCTCCAACATATTCAGTCTCCAGAGGGTTGTTAAAGTCATTTTTTTAGGATAATAGTGTTGCTCCTTCATTTAAGTTTCATTAATGCTTCTCTATGACCAACAGAAAATTGCAAGAGTTTAAAAAACTATTGACTTTTATATTTTTACCCACACTAATTGGGTTTAATTATAGTTAATTTTAATTTATAAAGACATATTGTAGACACTCCTTTATGTTTGCCTACTGAACTTTAGGCTTTTTTATATTAATAAATCAATATTGATCAGTTGAACAGATGGATCCTGGTCAAGGGCAGTACCTGGGTTGTAGGTTCGATCCCCACCCTGGTGGAGGCACATATGGGAGGCAACCAA